ATTTCAGACCTCCTTTTATCCCCCTTCCAAATGCATATGCATACAGTTTCACAATCAGTTCATGCATATTCATCCCGCATGACACTTAGCACCAGTTCTTCTTTATCAAAGGAATTTCTAGGTCGGGGCAAATTGACCTCATGGTCTTTTCTGTTTTTCTTTCCCTGTCTCCTTGCTGTCTCGGCATGCGAGTTTTTCCTTCAGCTTTGGCCTCACAGACCTTTCACCATTGTTAGACACTTCACCTAATTCAGGATGGATCTCTACTCTGTCTCAGAAGGACAAAGCAAACTCACTGGGAGCCACAAGCTTCAGCTCTCGAGTAACAGCACCGAGGTCGTTCCTTGCCACACATCGCACAGCCAGGGTTTCCTCCACCTTCTGGAAGGTCACCCGGCTTTCCACCATATTTTTCTCATCCAGGTGGGCTTCCATGTGTATATCAGAGATATTGTTAGTCAAAAGGGTCCATGAGGTGTCATTGTTGCACCTGCAGAGAAGAATAATGGAGGAAATGTGCGTTGGGTGTACGTATGGATGAATAAGAGTGAACAGAAAAAGAATTACCTTTCCCTGCAAATTTCTTCTGACAACAACATATTTAAGGGTCAGAAGGGTCTTTAGATTGCATCTCTGAAAAACCTGCACCTTTCTTCCTTCAAAATAAAAATCCTCCCTAAATGGAGAGACAGCTACTTTTCAAAATCCTTACTTAAATCTGGACTGTGAAATCCTTGGAGTCGGTTTAGTGAACAGAAGGCTTTTATGAGAGAAAGCTGAATTGATGCATTGTTTTGTGTCCTATAGGATGTAAAAAAAAATGGGCGCTGACAGCATCTCGTGAAATACAAAACACATGCCTCTAAAAAGAAATAATTATCTGAAACTTACTGACTCTTAATGAGGAAAACATGCTACAGTAACTAATTATGTTAAGATAATTGAGGATATAGGTCGTATTTCAGGTAAGAAAACACCCACTCCTCTTACTTTTTAATGTCCTTGCAAACCAGCCATTCCACATCAGGAAGTGGGGTCCCCTCTGCCAAGCATCTCACAGTCTGGCCACCTGCAGAGCCATGGTGATCATCCACGAGGGCTGAGATCAGAGCTGGAACTGGGAAGGAGTCGGGAGTTTGTTAAAATATTTGTCAGTGATTACAGAAAAGAGCAGCTTCAAATTTCAAAGCAGGGGAGGTGTTGCTTGGCCAACACCTTAGCAAGAGCCACAGACACAGACTCAAGCAGGAGGTGCTTATCTCCTGTAGCACAGAGTGGATTCTAGGCTAGAGCAGTGAGAAGGAAATGCTGCAGTTGTGCCACGTCTTCATGTCATGTTAAATGAGCTATCATCCTACTGTCAGCTGGAATTACTTAGCTGGGTGGATAAAGTTTCTTTTTGGCTCAAGGCCAGTGCAGAAGTGAAAGCCAGGATCAGGCTAGAGGAGCTGCAGAGACTAACACGGACTTCTCTGCTCAGCCTGGTTCGTGCCTTTCATGGGTCCATACTCCAGGCAACGCAGTGTGCCAGTGGATCAAGTCTTTGCAGTGTGCCAGGAGTTCTGGTGGGCAAGGCTTTGGGGCTGCTTACCTTGTATCAGCAATGAGAAGGTATATCTTTTAATCTCATCTTCATTTTCAGCAACCAAAGTATAGTATCCACTGTCTTCCTCCTTGGCCCGTATCAATTTTAAAACACTCTGAAACCTGCAGAAATGCGAGTTTTTGTTTGTATTTTTTAAGCAGGCATAAAAAAATCATTTTACTGCAACATGTAATCTGGGTATGTTGCAATTATAGCGTAGTGACATTTGGCATTTTCTAGCATGCCTTTAACTAAGTCGTTATTCAAGTGGTAAATAACTATCAACATATAACTGAGAAAGAAGTGGCCTTAGTTCCTTTCTGCAAGGACCTGACAAAGCCCTGATTTTACTGGAAACAGCCAGAAATTATTGGTGTGGGACATGTTAAAGGGAGTGAAGAAGTTTCTTGCTCAAGAACCTTGAAGAGGGTGATGTTATGAAGGTAGTAAGAAGAAGTAAATTAGGCATTGCCCTTTAGAACAGAAAACAAATAAACTATTTTTAAATGCCACTGAGGAAGAAGCAACAAACTGAGGTGTAAAAAGTGAGCAGGAGTAGTGCCCAGTTTTCTGGGGGAGGAACTCAAGCCAGCATGGCAAGGTAAGGGTCAGAAGGTTTTTTTACCTTGTTTCCTGGACTCTTCCTGAAGTAGTAACAATCTCTGTAAGATTTTCAATCAGAGTCACGTTATCCTTCAACCAGTACATTTTTGGTGCTGGGTAAGCCTGCACATCAACAACAAAGTTTTTGACTTCATGCAGGTTGACAGCTTCCAGAGGGTTGAACTGAGGCTCCAGGTGAACAAAGCCTTTGTCTGCAAATGAAAAAGCCTTGTGTAAACAAAACTATGCAACATTTTTCAAGAATGATGTTTTCCAATGTGTTGATAATTTTAGACACTGAAATCAGACCATACCATGAACTGTAATGGCTACTTTCTTATTTTCCTTAACCTCCTTGGTTGCATGCCGAGCAGTACATTCATAATCCCCTGTGTCTTTCACTGATGCCTCAGGAATGGTCAAGGTGTAAACCAGCTTCTGTGATGGCACTTTGATATCATCAAGCTTTATCAGACCTTTTTCTTTCTGAAGTTTGGAGAAAGAAAAAAAACTTGCTTAAGTAACTGAGTTGAAAGCACATCACCGAGGATCTTTGATATCCCTGAAGTGAGAGCAAACATCTAAATTCTGTATGGCAAAAGACTTGTTTACTCAGACAGGGATGCCTCTTTCAGCCACAACAGAAAAGCTGTGCCTACGAAAATACACCCTTTTGTGTTTTGAAACAACACAAAAACCAAAATACCTTTGAAAATTTGGGTAAGCAACTTGACAGAGAAATTTACTCTCTATGCACTACCTTTTCCTCAGATGTAAAAGCCCCTTGAGTCCCTTTTGTTCAATGTCCATGAAGTAAGATCAATTTTTATCCCCTTCATCAGACAAACAGTAACCAGTTAATAGATGCTATGTGCTGCCTACTCTCAAAACAAGACTAATTTATTGACAAGGAGAAAACTCCTAGGAGTAAAGGGATGGTAAAAATGATACACCATGTTATCATGAGGGGCTGGTACAAAAATATGCTGGGGCTAGTTTTGAAAGGTGGCATATAGCAGAGACTACACTCATTTGTAAGATGGAAAACAAGACAAAACTTGCTCAAATAATTTTTCCTCCTAGGCTCTTAACTTACTTAAATAAAAAGCTGGATTTTGAGTAACAACTAGGTACACTTCAATTACATCATTCCTTCAACAACCAGACTTGTTACATTGGATACTCTGAAATTGCCTGGCCCTAGCCAAGTTTCACTGAATAAAAGTTTTCACTGCAAAAAGATGTTCAACCAGTTTAAAAAATTTCAAGGTTCTACAAGATTTTCTTACTAGATGTTTCTCATTAGTAAATTCAGTGACTGTAAGAATTATTTCAGTTTACATCTGCATAATGAAGAGCACTTAAGATTATAGACTTGATTCTTCATTGTCCTTTATTACCCCAAGAACCAGGATTTAGGAGAGCTGTTTTAGAGGCTCAGACCTTCAGCAGCTGAACTCTACTCAGATGCCCAACATACCTAGATCTTTCAATTTTCACAAGATTTCTTTTTTTGGCAGCAGCACGAGACCTGAGAGAGAGCATTACTTCCTCAGTCATACCTCACCTTCTTCTCATGCTTTGCTTAGTTACTAACAGCAAATTTATCTTTTGGGACTGACTTTCTTTTATGGTAACCTAAAATTAAAAGAACTTACTTGGTTTTCTCTCCTCAGCAGCCTTCATTCAGATAAGAGAAGAATATTTTACAACCTCACTTTTTTGCCAAATAAATAACTACAAATGTTGTGGGGGGAAAAAAAAAAAAAAAAAAAGGAAAGAAAGAAAGAGAGATATTTACCACTTTCCCAGGGTAATTCCACTGTAAATTAACCACCTCATTGTCAAAGACCACACAAGTCACTACAATGGTCTCCCCTGTTTTGTAGACAGTTTTAAGAGCTTCAATTTCAACAGGCAGCTGTGAAGTAGCTAAGAGAAGAGAGAGAGAGAGATCTCATTTAATTTTTAAAAGATTACAATTTTCACATGGTGCAGTTTCAGAGGAAGATTTCCCCTTCAATTCCTTTACTGAGGAATCACCTTGAAAATTCATTAAAAGTACCCCTGATCCATACTAATATAAACAATTTGTATTTAAAGCATGAACTGCACAGGCAGTTCAATCCCACAAAGAAATGTTCCACAAATAAAATTTCAATTAGAGGTTCCTATCTCAAATCCCCCTGTAAAAAGGCATTGGGAATAAAAACAATGTCCCATTTTGCTAATCAGTGACTGTCTTTGAGAATTCCTTGATGGCCAGGAAAAATGTCTTCAAAATAATTAAATCAATATGTTTTTCAGGCTACTCAGAGTTCTACAGTTCAAAGCCACTGGGAAACACCAGCCTTTTAAGTTGTGTTTCAGCAAATAGATTGAAAATATATGGACTACACAATATTTTTCTTGCAATAATTTTGGGGAGAAGATAAAGTTAAAGACATGTTATTCTCATCAAAATTGTAAATAAACTTGCAACTAAGTGGCAGTACTGCCAGAGAAGCAATAAGCTCACCATTGCAGAAATATCCTATATAACCCCATGATGCTGGTGCTCTTACAGTGTGAAGAGAGAACACAAGCACTTTTTATTTTTTAAAAAATGAATAGAAAGAAATACCTCTTATAATATAGATGAGGAACTCATCAGACTTGAACTCCATGCCTTTAACCATTGTTTTGCACGTGTATGAGCCCGCAGGAAAATTCCCTATGAAGCCTTGTTTGGTGTCATATAAAGCATGCACAGGCTTGTCTAAGCTGTTAACTAAAGTCACTTGGGCCTCTGGGTTGCTTGTCCGACAAGGGATAACTGCAGGATCACCTTCTTCTACCAGGATGAACTGGTCTTCGGGTATAGAAGGAACAAAAGGCATGTCTGGGTCTGTAAAAAAACAAGAGGCAATCTTACACTCTCTTGTTTGCAGCAAGTCCATGTACAAGCATTGCATATCAATGACCACTTATAAGTGAAACTTGCATGGTTCATTCTCCCTCTGTTTCAGATATTGCAGGTAAGGTTTGCTAATTTCATGTGGTATCTTATTTTAGCTACTTGATGTGATGTGTAATGAAACTTTTCTCCTAAGGACAAAACAGGAAAGGGCTTAGGTTCCTTTGTGACAATTCAGGATGCAAAACGAAAAAGGCAAAAGATCCCCTCCCCAAAATGTTAAATGTTATTATCCACAACTCACATGATTTTAAGTTAGATTTTTTTTCACCTTTTTTTATTAGTAGCTGTCTGCTAACCAATATATAAGCAGGGGGTAAAATAAAAATAAAATAAAATAAAAATTCCAAACACTTTCCAAGTAAAAAAAACAAGCTGAAGTCAGTCTCATGTTGTTTATGTTGAACACCACTAAAGCCACATTTCATCAAAAATAGTTCAAGGTACTTATCTTCATGTATTTCTAACATGTCCAACATTACAGTTATGAGACATAGTTAATTATGGTCACAGCATGTGGTTTTCAAAATACAGTATTCAAGTAGGAAAAAAAGCAAACAAGAACCTGGTAGTTTTATTTCTTTTAAAGTCAACAAAACACATGCCAACTTTGCTATCCAGCCAATCCAAAGTCTGAGTTTAAAACATAATTGCATAACATTATACATAAAAAGCATAGCCCTCAAATTCTCTCCATTTGGCCATTCAGAATAAACAAATAATCCCTGTTATCCTGAAGCTTCTGTGCAAAGCTTTATAATAAAATTTATTAAATAGCAATCCAAATCCCTCCAACAGTAGACTTTCTGCTGCACTGGCAGGCTCTTTGTAGCAATATTCCAAACACAGCACTCCATCCCAAAAATGCTGCCAACTCCATGTATTCATTTTCCCACTGTAATTTAAAACAGAAACAAGATTCACCTAGTTTGGTTTTCTATGTGCTGTTAGTGAAAATAGGATATTGTGTGAAGTCTCAACGTAATCCTCCCTGGCTAAAGTGGGTTGCTGCCACCCATTGCCCTCCTAATACATTGCAGGAAAAACAATTGTAACGACAAAGTTTATAGTGGAAACAGAGACATTCTCTGTAATTTGGAGAAAAGGATATGTTTCTGCCTTTATGACATCTTGATGGTTAGCAAGTGGAAAAAATTACAGGGTGTCTCTGCCCTGCGAATCTGGTAGGCTGATGTCTAGAGGCTTTCGAAAACCAAACCAAAAAGTCCTCTTGAAGAAATCCTCCAGCTCTTGCCTTTATATTCCTCCACTGGGTGAGTTGCATGACTGCTTAACATAAACAACATCTTCTGGCAATTTGGTTAGAGCTGCTTGGATATTGAGATATATGTGCCAAAGCTGGCAGTATCCTGCTCTGCTGAAACATCTTGCTTCAAGAACTAAGGCAAACACTTTACATTTGTGGCAAATGGAAAGTCTTGGAAGAATCACTGTCCTTGAATCTCACACTGTCGACAGCAAAATTTAATGCCACTGCAAAATAGCCCTTAAAACAAGTCCTGTTATTGCCTCCTGGCTTTTTGCCTTCCAGAATCTTCCTTGCCATTGCAGACTCCTTCAGAACACGCTGCAGATTCACAGGGTGATTTGAAATCTCTTCTCCTCTCTTCTGTTCCCTGTTCAATATGTTTGCTGCAAGTCCAGTGGCTTGATCTCTTCTGGCCCTGCAGTTGTGACCCTCACCCCCTGAAGCCCAGCCAGTGCCAAGGGAACATCCAGACAGGGCTTCACAGGAGCAGTCAGTCGTGGCTCAGCCTCTGGTGCCTATCTCAGCTATGACAATAAAGATTCTCATCCCAGAGAGATTGTGGAAAGCCTTTTAGCTGATTTCCAGTCAGAACAAGGGGGTGGGAGGGCAAAGCTGGAAATAGGCACTTCCAAAAAGAAAGGATGCCATTTCTTCTGAGTCCAACAGTTTTCCACCACTAAAGAGAAACGCAAGGCAGGGCCTGGGAAGGCTGTGTTTGCCTTGAAAATTACAGGGCACTGCACAGTAGCACCATGTGTTTAATCTTGTGTCAGACTGGCCAGCAAGAACACTTCTTTCCCCTCCCTCTGACAGTCACCTCTAGGACATCTCCATTGCTTTACACTTCCCAGGCCCTGTCCACACATGAGCTTTTCCCAGCTCTCAGTCAAAGCCTAATTCAGGTTAAGAAAAGATATGGCCTTCCTCATCTGGCAGCAGCTTTAGGATGGTTTGGTCAGTACATACATTGGTTTTGTCAGTACACATCCCAGGACAGCCACCCACGTGCCCCCTGAAAAGCCTGGAATTTCTGTTAATCCCCACCTGGCAGCCAGGCAAGCCTGAAGGCTGGACATACTCCCACAGGCAAGCTGAGCTGGCCACCAAGGTCTGCCAGTTCTGAGTTCATCACTCTTCTCGAGAACTCAAACTCTTATCAAAAAGTGAAAACCAATAGAAAGAAAGAGGAACATATCCATAGATTTACAGGGCCTGGCCTTGGTTTACACATGATTTAACCCTGGGGTTATTTCTCTTCCTCAGACAGTAAACTGCCACCAGCAACACACCTCTTCTGAACATCCCTGGCTCACCTCTCCCACCCCAAGCCCCCTGCACAGCTGTGCCATCCCCTCTTACCAGGCACATAGATGTAGATGTTCTTGCCTTCCACATCACCATCCTCCACCTGTGTGTGGTTGTAGTAGCAGACATACAGGCCCGTGTGCGCGGCCGAGGCGTTCCCCACCTCGAGCACTGTCACGAAGAGGCCACTGTTGTTCTCTTCATGTCTGATGTCTATCCTGTGGTTCCCCTCGGTCACTGGGTACTGCCAGCTCACTTCGCTGTCCCCAGAGCATTTGAGTGTGAAATTGGAATAGAGCTGTACCACCATTTCATTCCTATTGGGAACAATAGTTGGCAGAGGAAGCTGGCAAAATGTTAGGAATGGTCCTGCAAAAAGACACAAATAAACAGCACGTCAATACACAAAACAGCTTCAGCACAGGGATGTGAAAGGAAGCAGAGAGGGTCAGAGCAGCTTTTTTTTCTGACTGCTTCAGACCTGCTGATGTCCCAGGAAATTTGCCCTTGTTAAAAGCCAAAGCTTTGCCCGAGGAATAGCAAATGGCTTTCCTTTGAAATGTTAAGTGTTTGCTTGCTGACTTCTGTTTGTCAAATCAAGAGGTGAAAGACAGACAGAGGTGAAGTTAGAGATAGCTCCCAATCCACACCACAGCTTGCCAGCCCTAAGCTGTACACAGCTCTACTGCACACCAGTGAATTCCACACCCTGGCTGCTGGGTCACAGGCACTTCACACCCTCTTACAGCCCTGTCTGTCACAGCAGTCCTGTCAGCTTTCAAGAAAGCTCACAGCTGAAATTTGGAAACCACTTCCCAAGACTAAAACCTGCATCTTACATCTGACTTCAGTTTCTGCAAAGGGCTGGAGCAGGAGCTTGTACATCAGGTCTACCTCTAGCCAAAATGTGCAGAGGGCTTCTAGCCAAATAAAACTGCAATTCACTGAACTAGATGTTGTAGATGGAACTGGTTTTCAGATGAAACCTCCAGTTACAGGCTCAGATTTGCAAGTCTAGGTAATTTGCAGGTGGGTTGGTGCAAGTCCAGCTCTCAGAAGGAAAATTAGAGGATCCAAACCCTTCAAAATGAGGAACTCACCAAGGAAATATGTTTGTGGTTCCAGTCTACCAAATGACCTGTACAATAAACAAGCACCTAGGCTCACTGAGTGAAGTTGGCACTCTCTGCAATAAACCCACACCAGGAATCCAGACTCTTTGAAATAATTTTCCACTCCTGCCCAGAGTTACCTTGCTCTAGGGGCCCTTTCTATATTTGGCACGCTGTGGCCCAGCCAGCCCTGCCCTGCCATCCCCAGCGGTGCAGCAAAGCCGGGATGCTAGGCGGGGAGGATGCAGGGAGCCCAGACAGGCAGAGGCAGCCCTGCCGGTATCCCTGGGCACGGCTGCAGGTGGGCAGAGCATGTGCCCGCACACTCCCGCTCGGTGGGAGGCTGTGGCAGCTCAGGAGAGACAGAGCGGCCGATAGGGACTGGTGAAAGTACTGCCTTCTCAGTAGGGCTTGTCATAGCCTGCCGGGGGGGAAAAGCAGAAAAAACCAGCTGGCAAGCATGTGGCATTTGTTATGGTGGGCAGAATGAAAGCGAGTTTAAACATGGGTTTATGAAGAACTGGGATAGGGAAGCTTAGAGGATTGAGGGACATTACCTGTGAGAAAACATCCCAGGATCAGGAACGCCTGTGGGTAAGTACCCATAGCTGCTAACAGCTGAAACAGAAAGGAGAAGGCAGGAGTGAGACAATTAATGGACTGACAAGTGCATAAGACTTAGCAAGATCCCTGTTCTGCAGCGCCCAAGTGCAGTTTCCCATCACTCCACACAGTGCCACCAAGAGTGGCCCAGGGACCCCAATTCACAGCCACAGCCCAGGGAGACCCACGCTCCTATTGCCACCAGGTGCGTGTGGCCACAGACTGATCACAGCCACATGAGACACCACGACCCCTTCTGCCCACTGGCAGTGTAAGGAGCCAAATCCTGGTGTAAGGAAACAAATCCTCGTGTAAGGAACCAAGTCCTGGTGTAAGGAGCAAAGTCCTGGTGTGAGGTGCCAAGTCCTGGTGCATCCCCTCTCCAACAGCCTGCAGGCAGCTCTGCTCCCACTGTAGCCTCTGTGACCGAGCCCACAGAAATGCCCCTGCACGGAGGCAGCAGCCTCACAAGCATCAATGAAGATGTAACATCTTCATGCAGTACGTTCTGACCTTTCAGCTGCAAGCAGCTTTTATGGGAGAAAAAGTACATTTTTAAAGCTACTCTTATTACAAATAGTACAACCCTGAGTGATATTTTTGTTTTGCCATTGTACATGTGTGTATATATAGCTTACAGAATACAATGTAACACAATAGCGCTTATTGCTTATTTAGCAGGAATTCCCTTGATCAAGAGACACGCTATTTAAAACACATGCTGAAATTTTCTAATGAAATAAATCCATTACATACTCTAGGCCAGCAGGGCCATTCATAGAGCATCTATTCTCCCCAACAGCGCAGAGAGTCATAGATCACATGCAATTATTTCAGCTTTCAAACATATAATCGTAAAGTATCTGTCTTATAGAGGCAACAATAGCAATCAGCATCTATGTAATTTTTGTGCCTTGTAATGATATTTCTACATAATACCCTCTAGCAGCATGCTAGGTAATTTCTAAAGGACAAGACCCTGCAATCCCTGCTCCCATTGAAACCAACAGATGCTTTGTTGGTGACTTTAACAGCAACTGGATTTGGCCCATATCCAAAAGAGATTAAATAAGCACTGCACAGAAGAGCCCCTAATTTGAAACACTGACCAAGGAGTAAAATAAAGGATGGTGTGCCAAGACAGGGACTTTTTTTCAAAGGTTCTGGAGAGTTTCTATTCATCCTCTGGTATTCAGTTCCTGATGCTGAGATATGAAAGCACGTAGGTGCATCTAGTTATTACAACTGTGGCAGTGCCTTATGGGAACTAAATGCTTACAACATGCCAAGGAGTGTTTCTGATCTAGTCCTGCTTTTCTCCTGCAATGAGTGGAGCAGACAGCACCCCTTTGCAGAGCAAAAGAACTTTATAGTCAAACATAAAGGTCTCAAGAGAAGGATTAGAAGACTACCTTCCTCAAAATCGTGTACAAACACCATCAGAAATCTAGCTAACAAAGCTCCAGCAGAGACAAGGCATCTTGCCTGCTTCTTCAATTAGCAATAATTGCCATGTGTTTATGTGTCTGTCTCCCATCAATAACAGACTCTTGCATATCAAATAGTTCCCTCACTTTCAGCCTCTTTACTCATTTTAATCACATTTGTACCCTGCACTTTTTCTAAAAAAGTAACCTTCTGTAGCTCTTTAAAGACTTACCATGGTCTGCTTTATTGATCTGACTCCTGATCTCCCACAAGACAATATTACCTCACTTCTGCCAAGTTCCCTCCCTTTTCTGACTGAAAAGGCAACTCTCTCCCCCTCCTGTGTTGTTTTGCCAGACTATTCAGTGCAAGTGATGCAGCAAAGGAGGAGAAAAAACAAAGCTAGTTTCATCTCTTGCACACCAGAAGCTGTGCTGAAGGGGACTTGTTGCAGAGCTGTGTGTGTAAGTGAGGACTGAAGCCCAACCATGGAAAGGCAGGTGATGGCGTTTCCAAAGTGCAGCTTTGAACTTGCTGTCTTGGCTGGGCTGACACTGAAATCAATAAGTGTTTCAGTGTAGCGTTGCAGTTTAAAAACACAAGGACTTAACTAAATTTGCTTTCTCCATCTGGCTCTTCTTTCGCAACCCAGAGCTTTGATCTTTCCCCAATGACCCGTTAATCGTTAATCTCATCAAGACCCAGAGCAACACTTTTTCGCTGTGAAAGACAGGATAATGTACTAAGGATTCACATCACTCGTGCTCAAAACCTGTTTGAATTCAGTTACACCACGCATCTGACTTAAGAATGCACCAGCATACCCTCACACGTCCATGCTGGGCTCCAGGTTTAACATAGGCACCATTTCACACTTACGGGCACGAGATTTTACTCATTCCCACAACACCAAGCAGGTACACCTATCCTGGGTTCCTATATTTACATTTTTAACTCCTTTACCTTCCTAATGGCAGACCAGTTGCCTTTGTCCCCAACTATCCGAATCTCAGCCCTGGATAAATACCTCCGGTTCAGTTCCTAACACTGGCCTATCAACCCATAACTTGGTGTAGCCTTGCTAAAGCCAGTAGGTTTATGTGAGCTGAAGCCCAGTATTAGCACGACATATACAATGTGAGTTTGAGCAAACCTTGTTTTCTTGCATGCTTAGGACATTGCTAGCTAAAATAGAAGTGTGGGTGTGTATGGTAAAAGCAAGGTAATGCACTGGCAGATTTGCCAAACCCTCTGCAGGGGTTTGGCCCGGGTTGGACTGTCATTGAATTTATGCAGATTTTGAGAGGTTCTGACTGAAATCTTGGTATCTCTCTTGTGCACTTTTGTGGTTAAAAAAAAAAAAAAGTCAGAAAGGTAATTTTAAAGAGCAGGAGTCAATTTTCCAAACACTAACTGCCAAGCTCTGGCTTCCTATAAAGAAAGATTTCATTGACTGTGCCACAAAAGGCAAGGTAAAATCAATGTTCAGAAACTCAATGGAAATGCATGCTTAGAAAATTACGATATTCCTAGGTGAGCGCTCTATGTGACCTACAGAAAAAGAGCGGAGGGGGACCGACAAGAGCCAAGGGTAAATGCTATTTTCATACTGCTGTGAATCCACCGGAGACGCCCTTCAAGGCAGAGAGCCGCCCGTCTGCCGAGATGCTGGGCTGCTGGGCTGGTTCCCGCTGAAGTTCGCAGCGGCGGCCGCAGGATGGCAATGTTGGTCCGCACTAACCAGACACATCCCCTGCCTGCAAGAGGCTGCGCTGGCCTCCAACGGAGCCGCCTAAACTGGGTCTCCGGATCAACTCAAAATTCAAAATTCAAAATTCCTACATTTTGAATTTCATCTGATTAAAGAAACGAAACGACACGAAACGAAACCAACAAAACAAAAAATCCAACAACAACAACAACCAAAAACAAAAAACCCAACCAAAACCCCAACTAACCAAACAAAAAAAAACAACAAAAAAATCCAAATCCCAACAACACAGCAACCCCGGTCCCATTTTCTCTGTATTTACATAAGTGATAGGAGAGTATTTGGATTGTAAATCTTGGCACATAATGATATGATTATCCTTGTTGTGAGAGGGCTGGGTAATTTCAGTCGTGATTTTGTCACAGCGGCAGTCTGTCTTTCTGGGAAAGCTGATCTTTTCCAGGAAGAGCTAAGGCCAGCCCAAGAAAAGACATTTCTTTCTTGTGGTATATGTCACCAGCTGAATGTAAATGTTCAGACAGGACCTTCTGAAACATTTATTGGTCCTCAGTTCCCAAAGTGCAAACTCAACTCTCCACAAGAGCAGCGCTGCCCTGCAGCGCTAACATGTGGGTCTGATGGTTTTGCTGGGGAAAAGGCTCAAAGCTCTTCAATGAAAAAGACTGGCATAAATATTCCCCCAAAATGAGGCTTGTTCCACGGCCCTTTACAAATACTTGAATCCAGCATAGCCTGTACCTAGAAAAACTATGCATCAAGAAAAATCCAAGGAACAGTCATGCATCAAGGGTAGCCCAGTGCTGGTCTCCTGCTGAGTACTTTGTGCTCTGCAGGACACAGTGAGGCTGCTTCCAAAGAGCCTTCTGGTCAGTCCCAGTTCTTCAGCCTAACCCTCCAGGACAGAGTCCCTCCATCTAGGAGCTAAGCGTGGTGGGGGAATTGCAAAGCCTAAATTTTCCCACTTGATCCAAGGAGGGTTTTCTGGACTGTCCCAGAAAACAGGGGGGAAAAATAAAAAACAAACAAACCAGCTAGCACTTCCAGGTAATATATCTTCCTATCTTCCTTAGGTTCTCAGAATCAAATCAAAAAACACCTCAGATCCCAACTCAAGTGCTGAGAAGAACTGTGCGGAAAAAGATACCCATCTCAGCTGACCACAAGAGCTAGGAAGCCTAGCTGTTGCAAACTTTTCCCTTGGGCACCCACACAAAGCTTCATAGGCTTGAAAGAGATGAGTCAAGCAGGAGAGCAAGGCATAAGGGAGAGAAAGGATCATTTGCTTTCTTGTTTGTTTTTCTTTAAATTATCAGCAATTCTCACCACCACCAGGAAAAATCACCTCTCAGAAGTCATTCCTTTGTCTTTATGTCTTCAAAGATAAAAAAGGAAACATCTTCTATTAAAAATTTTAGAGTTCATGTACAAAAGTTGGTACAATTGTAGTCATGATGAAATAAAGAAGCAAGCAAGTCAAGGATTATGTAAAGTTACACATTTCAGCCTCCTCTTTAGACCAAAGGGTATAGCTGGAAATAATCTGTGAGGTCTGGACTATGCAAGACTTTCTGTCTAGATATACTGTACTTCAATCCTAGCCCAATGCTGTAGTAGAGAAGTATTTTATTAAAATATTTATTACTTCCTGCTTTCTTGAAACCTAATACCTATGTATTACCCTCAGAGCCACATGAAGATTTCCCATACATCAACAAACTAGTAACAGCAAAGTTGGCCCCAGTACCCGACGGCAGCTGGACTGGCACACCTCCTGCCCCTCAGTGCCTGAAGAGCAAGACCACAACAAGGGATCTCATTTAAAAGCAACAGCAGAGTGCCTGCAGGCTGAGAAGGCTGCTTTGCTCTTGGACTCCTAAATCCCAGTGTTTTGTGAGGTCTCATTTTTCTGCAAACATTTTCCCCCCAAGCTTTGAGGTTGGCTACACCGCTGTTTAGCTGTGTGCCGTTCTAAAACACTCATTGTTAGCTAGAAGCTAAAACCAAAGTCCCTTGCTGGGAGATCTTTTCCTAGAGTTTCTACACACGGAGTTAAAAGTCGGATCTCCACAGCTCAGATTTTGATAAGACGATGACAGAGAGATCTTTGATGCCTGTCTCCTTGCTTTGATCCCGTGTCTTGTCCCAGCTAAGGACACAGAGCTTAGTCAGCGGAGCTGGGGCTCCAGCTGGTATCTACACCGGCCCTGGAGACGCCGAGAGCGCAACAAGCCATCCCGCTTTCCCCGGTGCGTCCCGTCGGG